CTCAATTCAGTTTGTGTCACTTTGTAGCACCAATCGGCAAGGAGGGCCAGACGGGCCATCAGAAAGCACCCAGTGTGGAGAGCCAGACGAACCATCAAATGTATAAAGAGGCCCTTGTGTTGCATTTTCGGGCCATCAAAAAAACACCCAGCGTGGAGGGCCACACGGGCCATCAAATGTATAAAGAGGCTGTTGTATTGTATTTTCGGGCCATCAAAAAGCACCCAGCGTGGAGGGCCAGACGGACCATCAAATGTATAAAGAGGTCCTTGTGTTGTATTTTCGGACCATCAAAAAGCACCCAGCGCGGAGGGCCAGACGGGCCATGAAATGTATAAAGAGGCACTTGTGTTGTATTTTCTTCTCTGTGATGCCTCACAACCTTCAAAGTGAAAATGCATAAATGAGTGTAGACGACGGGGAAGGTTCGAGAGAGAGGCAGAAAAGCATAGAGGTAGTTGGATTTCGGATGCATCCGAGTATGTGGGCAGAACATCACACCACACAAGACACACAATGACGAAAGCGAGAAAGTCAATCACGAAACAGGCGCCCGAACAACGGGGACGCTCGTGAGAATTAAAAGCCAATGAGAAAGAACAATATTGTCGACGACAAACACGCCGGGGACATGACAATTTCACCCGGAGATATCCTGGCAGTGACAGTCAGTTCTGCTCCGAACCAAACCGAGAACACCCACCAGTCTCTCACGGAAAAAATGAAAAGGAACAAATTTYGTCCGGAGAAGAACGAAATGTTCTTCTAAGTCAACCCTTCTACACTACATGATCAACAAAAAGATAGACGCTTACCTACCAACATCGCAAATCGCCAAAGCTAGTCTAGCTCTGATAGAGGAGATGTGTCTATGGGAGAAACCAAAAGGTGGACGTAAACCTCTCGCCAAACACGAAGCGAACATCAACATGAACACCCCACAACTAGCCTTATTGTGCTGCCGAGGGACACCTTTCACGCTGACCTCGCGAGCGAAGCGGTCGAAAGTGCGACTATCACCGGCGGCACCTGCCACCGTATTCAAAAATTTAACAGATTTATCTAAAAGTGCAGAGTAAAAGTTATCTTTAGATGACGAACACGAGAAAGAATCATAGATTTTCAAAACACGTCTAGAGAAGTCAATGGCCAAAAGGCTCCAGTGTTCACCGTCCTTGTGCACTGTTGCCAAGAGGAGGTCATGAGACAGGAGGTCCACATCTTTAGCCCATCTACAAACAGCTGTCGGACCTCGCAGAAGCAGTATAGAGGCGAAGAAAGAGTTAAAGGTATACGTCTTCTTGGTAGCAGCAGTCCGGCCGCAGTCGTCCAGTAACATCGCCATGTCGAAATTGACGACCTCATCGTTGAGCTCCCCGGATCCATCCACGAGTGCGACGATGTCCTTGAGGGAAACCTGTAAATTGTGCGATGGCAAACGCGCGACAATGATAGTGAGCGGCAAACGAGAGCAGATAATGTCTTCAAGGACTGCTCTTCCATCTCGAAGAAACCCTGTTCAACAAACACCCGCAGCACACAGCAAACACAAAGGATGGGGCACTATGAGAAAATGTCGTCTTAGCGGCCATGGTCCGACGAACCGCTACTCTGTGGCCCGAAAAGTTCACGCATAACGTCACCCCTACTTCTGGACCTGCCATACACAGTTGATTCTAAACTAGCACTRTCCCTATTTATATCCCTGCAAGCCTCGAGAAGGAATTCCTTGCAGTCTTTTTCAGCAACACCGGCTGCCTCTGCAACGAGTCTAGCGCGAGGGCCCAATACGGGCACGGCAACCCTTCAGGGAGGTCCCTAAGGTTTAGTCTCCCCAGGAAACGAATCAGTGACATTGCGACGACCAGTGCCTCCCGCAACTAGGACTGACAACCTGGCAAGGGCAGGCGGCTCCTGCGACATGTGTGTTTGTCGACAAGCTCGTCCACCTGTACAAGAAATAGCCACCCAGACAGTTCATCAGGAGATCAACAACACAACTTCGCAAGAGCAACCAAGCAAACAACACCTCACGAAGCACATCGTCAAATCCAGTTGGCGGCCRCGTACACACCTCCCTGAAATCGGCGAAGCAAACAATACTTCACGAACAGGCTGACGAGCGGGAAGCAAGCAGAGGAAGAGAGTGCTTACCAGGCTTAGCTTCAACGTCACCAGAGCCCACCGATGGCAGTCCCAGCACGATTGGCGCCCCCGTGCGCGTCGACGCGGCGATGACGTGCTCCAAACTCACAGGGAAACTTGACAGGTTCGAGATGTCGGCATCGATTACCGGAGACGGCATGAATTCATCCCCATCCCGATGGCGGAAATCCTCTACGTCCGCGACGGGCAATTTTAGTATGTCCGTCTCCGGACAAAGAGTGTCGACGTCCACAACATCGACAGGATGGGTTTCCTCCGTCTCCACTGTGTCGCATTGTGTTGTGCTCAAGGTCCCATGGATGTCCAACAACACCTCTCCCCCCCCTAACTTCTTGTCCTCGTGTGCTGTGTCTTTATCCTCGTCACTCAAATAGAGAAATCTATCTCCAACAGCGTCAGAGGACTTCTTCAGAACGTCCTCTCCCATCGCCTCGTCGTGAAGGCCGGAGTACAAGGGGTCGTCGTATGCCGGCTGAACTGGTTGCTCCATCCCGACGTTGCCGTGTGTCGGATCAATCCGGTCATATCGTCCTTATCCAAAGTCGTCAGAAGTCGACAACCGTCAAGTCCTTCGTCCGTGTGTCTCGGATGAATCCGAATTACGGTTGTCTCCAAACCTGCATCAGGGAGGGACATGTTCACAGGACCCTGGTTCGGATTCATCCGAGCCACCGCAGTTTCCAACGGCGACGACGTGCCCGCTTTCACCGGAGAGTCGCTTAAGACTGCTAACTCAGCGCGTATTGTCACCAGGCATTCGGCTCCGAGTGTGTGGGGCTCGGCATTGAAACTGGTCGCTAACTCACCCTCAGTCGGACAGTCTGCCTGCAGCTCCTTGTGGACTTCCATGCACAGCATTACGGCGTCCTACCACCGGTCGTCTGTCATGGCGGACACGTCCTCCTGGTTCGGATGAATCCGAATTTYGCCGCCAGGGTTTTCGGAAACCCGGACCACCCGTTCAAGTTCCGCAGACCGCTGTGCTCTCTCAAGGGTACTGGCTTCCTGGTTCGGATTAATCCGAACTTTCTTTTGAGTGGAAACCGAACATGGTTGGAGCTTGTCGCTGCCGGATCCGTGGTATGTTGTCGTCTCGCTTCCCGGAAGGCATTGAGTTCCGGACGACGATGTCGTCTCCGAGGTTCGGATAGATCCGAGACAATCGGCCAACCGTTTTTTGAGCTGAGCGAAGCAAGTTCCATTCTTTGCTACAACTGTCCCGCCAACAGCATCGGTATACTGTGTCCGCTGGTGRAGCTAATCACAAGGTCCTGCTCGCCAGGCCGTGTAATCCACCCAGGCCTGAAGTCATTCCCCGTCTCCATTGAGGTGCTGCCTGTCATCGCCAGAATCCCACCGTCCTCGTCGCGGTCGACATCGGACCCCTGCCCGTCTCCTGTGTGATGCTTTGTCTTCTCTCCGCTGCGAGGCTTTTTCTTCTCCCGTCTTCCCTTTTTCCCCTCTCCGCCGCCTGCGTGCCCCGAAGACTGCTGTTTCGTTGAACGCTGTTCACTTCCACCTCCGGTACCTCGTTGCCCGCTGCCTTCACCATCCCCTTCGCCTTCCTTTCCGCGAGACTTGCGCTTCACAACTCCTGCYGGCGGGGTGCCCGCAGGCAACTCCCAACTCACTTGCTTAATTGACGGGCTTGACGGAAGGGCGTAGAACGCAGAGGACACTTTTAGCCATTTATTTGACTGCAATAAATCGAACAGCGTGTCCCTGTATTCCCGCAGAGTAGGGTCGTCCTTACTTCGTCGATTGACCTCACTTGATCTCTCCAAAACCGCATCGTAGGTGCGAGATTTGAATGTTTCGATGTCCCAAGGATCGTCATATATCCACCCTCCACTTACGTCCCTCACAGCCACTGCCCATTCGACGTCGAGAAGGACTGGCTGGAAATGGTCTGGGTGCCACACGATATCATGGCCCCAATCTTCGGCTGTGGAGAAGGTGTGTTTGTCGCCCATGTGGAAGGGAGTCGCAGGAGCCTTGAGATGCAGATGGTCCGGAGGAAATGGAAGGTCGGGTCGAAGATGTTCGGGCTGCGGTGTGAGACGAATAGGCTCCCCCGGCGAACTCCTCAGACGGGACAACCCACCCCTCTTGACGGGCGCTGAGGAGGACACGGGCGTGGGGCCGCCCGAGGTGGGTGTAGCGAGAGGTGTCCCTGCTTTGCATACTGACGTCGGCGACTCAGGAACTTGGGCGTTGAAGATGGCCAATTGCCCGTCCAAATCGAAGAGGTCGTCCTCAACGCTCTCCTCCTGCTCAGTCTCGATATTGAAGTCGTCCTCCTCACCGAATGCCAGCTTGTAGTTATCCAAAGTGATGTCGGCGGGATCGACAACATCCTCATTAAAAAATACATATTCCAGCCTCTTAATGGAGCTCACAACGCCGGCCCGACTTCCTCCGTGGTAGCCCTGGAGGACCGCAATGGTGACTTCCTTCCGCACCACGTACTTCGGGTCAAATCTCAACCTTGGTTGTTCGCCGTAAAGGAAGGAGTAGACCTGGCGCCTTTTCTTCGGAGTCAACTTGAAGAACATATCCTTGTTCGGGTCATAAATGGGCTCAACCACGACATGGTGGAAATCGCATGGGTAACCCTTGGATGACACTTCATGGGTGACATACTGCACGGTGTATTCGAGCTGCGTTGTGTCCCCATCCACGGCCAAGACGTGCCTTCCCTGCCGAAGCAGGCTGAAGCAGACTCCACACCACCTGCGCGTGGGGCTTGCCCAAGAACAGCACGGCATCCGCCACACTATAGAAAAAAAGAAGCTGATTGCATAACTGATTCGGATTCCGCTCGCCGTCCTTGTAYAGAGCTCCCCTCTGGGTGAGGTTTCCGATGTCCGCGAAAGTCAAGGACTTGAAAGACTTCTCCTCTACATCCGTGGGTGTCACTTTCTGTTTCCTCCGGAGAGCGTCGTCGTTGTCTTCTGCAACAACTCCCTCGTACACCGGGTGAGTCAGTAGCCGAGGATCCTCGCCTCTGAAAAGGATGTGCATCACATCCGGCTCCTCCCAGACGCTGTTTCCGAACTGATGCGTCTTCTTCGCTGCCATCTTCCGAACCCACTTCCCCGCGTAGCATCGGGTAGCCCCAAGCGCCGACAAAGATGTCATGAAGGAGAGGTTCCACAGGCAGGGAACGAATACCACCAATGTCCAGTAGTCCTGACAAACGAAGCCCAGCAACTCACTCAGAGACGCGAATGCCCCAAAGTCCCATTGCGCACGGTCCACAGTTCCGCACAAGTCGAGCACGCAAGTGTGGGAGCGTAGCTGATGCCCTAATTTTCCCAGCGCCTCCTTATGATCTATGGCACTCAATGGGTCGATGTAAACTGGGCCAGCGTCATCAAGGCGCTTGTCCTCGTCCACATAATGTTGATGCATTCATCAACGCCCCGAGGGCTTTTTTTGCCTTTGGCGCGATCTCCAATGATCACCGAAAGGACGACACTTTTCCACTCCACAGGGAAATGCTGGTCGTTGACGAGGACCGCCGTTCTCTTGATGTTGTTGTCGTGTTGATACCCGAGAAACTGAGGGCATTAGTTGACGTATGTGGAGTCCGTGAAAAATTTCCTGCTCTCGTTCCAAAGCTTGTCGTTGAGACCTTTGTGCTTGAACTCTTCCAACAGTTGCTTCTTGGACCTGAATAACGTGGAGTTGGCATTCCACTCCCACTTATCCATTTCCTCGTACACGAACTCCACGTAGTGCCACAGCCTCAGCATAATCCGGTCCAGTTTTATTATGTCGACCATCTCCTTGACACTGAACTTCCCCTGCTCGGCCAACTTCTTGCTACTTGTTTGAACCCACACGACGTTAAGGTTCAAGA